CTCAGTCATGCATGGATGGATTTTGTTCAGATTTAGTACAATCTGTTGTACATATGCAGGTGCATTTCGATCATGATCTGCTTTGAATGTATATGTCACTCAAATATGAACGGAACGGGGACGTGTCATTGACAATGACTTGTTTCCTATATTTTACATTCAACTCTGTCAAAAATCAGTGAAAATAAATTCCATACAGAAAGCCCAAATTAATTCCAGCTAAAATAAAGTATTTTTCACAGTTATAGATATTCATGTGGAACCTATATTTGGCTACAACAAGCTTCCCAAACTTAGGATTAAAATATTTCATGTTAATTAATTCCACCACTAATATTTATTGTTATTTTATTTGATTCATAGATGATTGCAGATCACTGTGAAAGGTTAGCTCCGTATCAATATCTGACAGCATTCTCTCAACTCATATCAAGGATCTGTCATTCTCATGCCCAGGTGTTCCAACAACTTAAGGTAAATATAAACTTTAAAAGGAGATGTTACATTTTGTTTTCAGATCGATCGATAGAACAAACACTGTTGGTTGTAACAGTAGATTTTGTCTCTTGATACATTCGTACTTCTCAGTGTGTTGATTCAAGAAATTGTCTAATATGTTTATTCGCAACTATTCCTCTCTCGTTCACAAACACACAGTAGATATTATTATATGGCTATCAATATAAACACAGGTCAGCTTACACGACTGCTGGAGGGTACTTAGAATGATATAAACCTATGAGTGTTGTTCACTTGTCATTTGTTGTCAGTGTTATATTGAGTCCATCTGACCGTTTCATATCTAGGTCAATTACCATGATTACTGGATCAGTCTAGCATGATACTGCAGTAGCAGTTGTGTCTGAACACCTCAAATATTAAAATCAAATTCACCAACTTCATTTCAATTTCTGTTGATAGGAAATTATAGCAAAGCTGCTAGTGGTTTTTCCTCAGCAAGCTGTGTGGATGATGATGGCAGTTAACAAGGTAGATCTTCCTGTTTCGTCAGTTTTAAAATTCATACACACGATTCTATATATGAACATGAAAATTCCAAAAAAAAAAAATAAACATCATGTAAATGACTATCAAGCTCCACAGTGTACTTTATTTTGTAGCTTTTGATATTTTGAGCAAGTTTTAAGTTCAAGAATTTGCCAGTGAATCAATGAGTTCTATCATTATATTACATGTTCATATAAATTCATTTTAGCGAATTTACTTATCAGTGAAAATAATGAAATTAAAAACGGGGATCAATTAATACGTTTACAGTAAATTTGAACTGCACCGACATCATATTTCACTATGCCATGTACAAGTGCAATATAAATGTCATCTTTCTATGTACGTAAAATCTGTATTAGAAGCCGCATTCCTAATAGAAGTCGTACCCATTCTTTTTAAACATTTGAGAACCAAAAATTCATTGTTTTTCATATGTGTAGATGCTCTAATAGAAGCCGCATCCCCTCTGTTGCATTGTACCATTTTAATAGAAGCCGCGGCTTCTAATACAGATTTTACAGTAATATGTGTCTTATGATGAATGACAAACAAAGGACTAGTTGAAAATATTTGAATCAGATGTGGATTAAACAATATCTCAGTGGTCACTAACAAGGCCTTTCTATTAACCTTTCTTTTCTATAGTCTACCTATGCAATGAGAACAAAACGCTGTCGAGATATCTTCAGTCGTGCAATTGAAATGAATGCTGATTTGGAAAAATTTATACATGTGAGTATATGAGATGTACTCAAAACTGAATTCATAAAGCATTTATATGCTTTCTTCCTTTGATCCTGATTATAACAGAATAAGGACTGTTTGGTCTTTTTTTTATGTGAGGAAGGATACAATGAGATATCAAGCTGTGAAGAGTTGTGTGTATGAATACATTATTTCTTGTGCCAAGAGGACACTGCATCATAGTTATGTTTTTTTGTTATTCAGCACGCCACTAAATTACAAGATCGATTACTAGAAGTGTGTAACCATGCGGTGGAAAGTTCTTGCGATAAGCTGAGTATGGGTATGCATTTCAAGCCATTGAAGAGAATGGTTGAAGATGAGTAAGTCTTTTGTATTTATGTTTTTTTTGTGTTTTTTTACTGAATTCAATTTTATTATTTCCTGACTGCACAATGATATCAACAATAGATCCACATACAGCTATCCATTGTTTTTGTTTTCAGAAATGTTTTCAGAGATGCAAAAACGTTTTCAGGAATTCTGAAATGTTTTCAGCACTGCAAAAAAGTTTTGAGAATTACAAAAAAAAATTTAAAAATACATAAATGTTTTAAGAAATTCAAAAAAGTTTTCAAGAATGCAAAAATGTTTTCAGGACTGCTGAGCTGTTTTCGATTGTAGGATTTCAGAAACTTGTTCAAGACTCGAAAATGTTTTCAGAAATTCAGAAAAGGATTTGAAACTGTAGAATGCTCATTTTAAATTTTGAAATATTTCACACAGTAATTGATTATACTCTTCAGAAATATTTGTATGTCATTTTCTTTCATATTTTCAAGGAAATTCAGTCCTATTATCGTACCGTTACAAATTGCGATGACCGTTACATTGCCAAGTACACCGGGTATACATACCAATCACAATCCATTTCCTTGTGCAGAAGTCTATATTGCAGAGTTTGATGATCAAGTGAGTTCACATTTTTTTGAACAATTGAATCTTGTGAATTGTGCATATTTGCATTGTACGATTTGCACGGTTGAAGCTTAAAGGGCGGTAGTCGTCGCGCCACGCATGCACGAGATATATGGGTCTCATATAAACAAAGATGGCGACTTTGACTGTTGCGCAGATCAACGAGTAAGAATTGAGATGTTTCCAAGCTGTAATTAGGTATCGAAGGAGTCATTGGCGGTAATCAGTGCAAGTCACACCCAGGTCAACCTTGTAAAGAGCGCATTGGATTGTGGGAAAATCAATGTTTATCAACACAAATGTGACACATGCGCAGTGAGACGACCACCACGCTTTAACCTTGAAGGCCTTACCCACAAACCTGTGCTTGCATTAAGAAATGTTGTATTTGACCTCGATCGAGGAAGCAGAATATGATAATAATACATTTCATGCTCCAAATTATTGGCAAAAAAAAAATTGTGCTATTTTATAATTGTGGTTGGAATTTGTACTGTGCTGTGTCATGCATGCTTATCAGGTGCTTTAACATCGTCAACCATAAAACCAGATAATCCATTAAATCTTAACTGGTTGAAATGGGGAAAAACTAACAATATTTGATGTTTCGTGACAGATTGAAGTTTTACCTTCATTACAAAAACCAAAGAAGATTGGCATTCGTGGCACTGATGGAAAACTTTATTTTATGATGTGTAAACCCAAGGTCAGTATTTACCTTTTTTTGTTTACCCCCCCCCCCCCTACAGTTTGCATTGCTGTGTTTAGCTATACAATATTTGTCCAATACATTGCCCATCCAAAACTTCAGCCATGGGTGATGTTTCAGCAGCTGGGTGATCTTTCGGTTACAAAAATGCTGTCAAGAGTTACAGAAAATATCTAGTGCAGATCAAATTCTTAGAAACCTATTTTATGAGTAATTTTTAGAACATTTCAATCTTTCCTGGCACCTAAATTAGAATCCAATTTACATGCAAGTATTTTGTAGTTGCTGATGCCTAAGATAAATATGACATAAAATTGTGACGAGTGTGAATGGGTGAATACCGTTTGACAATTAGCTGTTATCACCGTGAAAAACATCGTCCAGGACAGGGTATCAGACATATTCAGTTAATATTAATTTTCTGTTGAAGTAAATTTATGGACATTTTTATATACATTACTGACCTCAAGTAGTCGTTGACCATAGAATAGAATAGAATAGAATAGATTTATTTTACCAGAAAAAAAAGATAATTGTACAGTAACTTTATCTGAATAAATATTAAATATATATATTTTTTCTGGTGAGGACCAGAGAGGCAGCTCTAGCAGAACTAATCTAGTCCCTGGCAATATGTGTGGCCTAATATCAGACTGTCCACTCAGCATTGAAAAGAACGAGGACATATACTGCTCATTTTGCGGGCCCATGGCGTTCAGTATTGGGAATATGGCGTTCAGTTATATCTAGGAGATGTAAATCTGTGTGCTGTTTTTATACTCGATGAATGTACAACATTTACAGTATACTTGTCATATTGAGTAGTGGATTACCATGGGATGACTGAAACTAATTCAGAATTTTCAATTGGGTTTTGTTCTTGTTGATTATCTTTGAAATAAATAAGATAAAAATGAAATTTTCTTTTACCGATATGTACATGCACACAACAACCACCTACCAGGTACCGTAAAATCTGTATTAGAAGCCTCATCTCTAATAGAAGTCGCACCCATTTGTTTTGAGCAATTGAGAACCAAAAATTCATCATTTCTCGTATGTGTAGATGCTCTAATAGAAGCCGCATCCCCTCTGTTGCATTGTAACATTTTAATAGAAGCCACGGATTTTAATACAGATTTTACAGTACCTTTCATTGTTCAAACACAACCACCAGCCGCATTGCATTGTTAACACACTTATAAGCCCACTTTACCTGACACTGCAAACATTTTATTTCAGGACGATTTGAGAAAAGACTGTCGTCTAATGGAATTCAATGCTGTTGTTAATAAATGCTTAAAGAAAGATGCAGAGTCACGAAAAAGACAGCTTCACATTCGAACATATGTAAGAACTTTGAATGTACTCCATCTATATCTTGACATCTCAACATACATGTATTTACAACATATAGTAAACCAATTAAACTTTGCTACTAGGAATTTTCTCGATAGCATTCATAAAGACAAAATGGCTGACACTCTGTGTTGTAGGACCTGAGAAAAATTTTGAATGCTAAAAATTTTATGATTTTAACTGACTTGAAATTTATGAAATTTCGTTGAGAAATTAAAGTGGCTTACATCATATATACAGTATTTCCTCTATTAGAAGCACATCTTTAATAGAAAAGCATATATACATGTACAAAAAAAAACATGTTGACTGTATACTGAATCATTGAAATTTAACTTGTGTAGGCCATCGGAAAATTTCTATTTCAGGTAAGCGCTTATATTTCTAATAGAACAAACACGATAAAGAACATTTGCCCCGACTGCCGCTTTGTTAATAATGTACCCGGGATATAGAGAGTGCTTGGATCTTTTCTTATTATGTTTCAGACATTTCACATCATACTTTTGTGCACATTCTTTCATGCTGTTTTTGTATTTCCATGAATATTGATTAATATTCTGTTTTTTGGTTTTTTTAATAGGCTGTTGTTCCACTTAATGAAGAATGTGGTTTGATTGAATGGGTTCCTAATACTGAGGGACTTCGACATATTCTGCACAGAATATACAAGTAAGACATTTGTCTTTCCATTTGTCTGCAAAGCCGACTTTTATTTTCAAGTTTCATTCCCACTTTGCGAAAATATGAAGCATCATTCCTAGAACAAGCTAAAAAACATAAAATATGGTAAAAGAATGATGTTTTAGTGAAAAATATGATATATTGATATCCTGGCCTCGTGTTTCTCACTCATTTCAATTTGAGAGTGCTGGAGGGTCCCATCACTTAGACAAACATACATTTAATGTAACTGTTTAAGGACAAATAAAGCCCTCCTAACTTACTGATAGTGATAGTGATAAAAATAAAAGTTTCAAAAATGAGGTTTCATGTTAATTTTTTTTTTTTTTTCAGAGCCAGAAACATGTATGTGTCAGGACGTGATTTGAAGTCTATGACCGCTCCCAATTCTTCCAGCATTGAGTAAGGGGCCATGCATAATTGAAACAAGAGCAAAGCCAATGTGATCTCTTCATTTCTAACATTCAATCACCTCCACTCACCCTAAACAAAAGTTTATAGTTGCAAAACATAAAAAAACCATTAATAATTGAAGTGATGATGTTTTCTGTGCGCATACCGGATTCTGCCGTAAATTCGCCCATCCAAAAAATTGCCCTGGGCGGTTTCACGGCTGGTGGGCCCTTATTTGGGGTTCAAATTTTCAAAAAAAATTATCATCAAATATTTTTAGGGGCTTATATTTTCATTAAAAAATCCACCTACGCCGATTTTCAACACCGGCAGTTGGACCACCCAAAACGAAAAAAAATATTGCAGAAGCTAATCTGATTTTGCTAATCTAAATTTTTATACATTTTTTTCTTGCTGGATTAAAAAGTAGACAGTGCATCCTTCTCCAAAAAAATCACATTAACGAACATCATGTGCCAAATACAATTATTTTGTTTCATTTTATTAGTAACGAAAGTATATTCTAAACGAACTGCAACGGCAGAATCCGGTATATTAATTAACCACAGCCCTCAGTACAAACATGTACCATGTTTATTTTATGAAAGAGAGTTTTTGTGTTTGCATGAGAAGATCGCAAAATTTTGTTGCAGTTACAATTTGTTTTTTGAAGCTTGTTTTCATAGAAATGCCCTCATATTATCAAATTTTGTAATTGAATGGTACCTAGAAGTTTGATAATGTGATGGCAATTCATCTACATTATGCGAGTGTCACTGAGAGATTCCGCATCCTGTATAAAACCACCCGCGTTATGTACCGGTACCACATTTGTTCCTTTGGAAATGAATCTCTGATAGAAGCGCATATACACAAATAATAGACCATTTTCCGTTCACTGCGAGAATCACGCGTTATGCGTGAAATCGAACGTAAAAACAGGACAAACAAAGGTCATAGCGTCGTAGTCGCGTCAAACATCGCGTGGGATTCGACAAACGCGAAAGTATTTCGGGGACATTTCCATGCTTAATAATGTGCTGTCCACATTTGATGATAGGCAATTTCGATTAAGTAAGGGTATTCGGAAGCAATATTCCTCTGTCGAAGATCGGCCGGTCAATGTAAGCTGCGAAATAAAGAAATTCTAGTTCAAAATCAAATCGTTCGATTTTTGCGGCAGACGTTCGACGCGCGTCTTTCATGCATCTCGCGAGATCTTGCAATTGTACGGAAAATCACCTATTGCATTCATTGTATGTTGGATCATTAAAATATGACTTTGAACATAGATATATCATTTATATAATCATATGCGCTACTATCGTAATAGGGCAAATACATTATTTGCGTAAAACATATGTTTGTTTCCTGAGTTTTATTTGGGACAAGTAAAAAAAAATATGGGAAAATTTGTTTGGTTTGAATGATTTAAGGTTGTTGTTTCATATCATCTAAAACTATGTATCTTCTAACTGATATTGCTTTTACAATTTTCAGAACTAAGCTGAATATTTTCAAAACACGATTGTTGCCACGGTTTCCACCTGTGTTTCACGAATGGTTTTTAAAGACTTTTCCTGACCCGACATCCTGGTACATGGCACGTCTATCTTACTGTAGGACCTCCTCCGTCATGTCGATTGTGGGCTATATACTTGGACTTGGGGATCGACACGGTGAAAACATTCTCTTTGATTCAACAAATGGTGATACTGTACACGTGGATTTTAATTGTCTATTTAATAAGGTAAAATAGACTGACTTACAAATGTATATTGTGAACATTCAGTTTAGTGTTTCGTAAGGGATGACAATTTGTCAATGATGTCGGCAACGTCCATATCAATGAGGTGAGCGAATTATACGCTGTCTATATAAACTCAGTGACGTATGGCCTATGCCGGCCATTTTAATTTAATCACTGATGGGGACAATGTAATGCTGTATAGAAAAGGGTAAGGTGATGGAAAAAACAGACATAATATATGTGAATACGAATGTATTTATAAATATCTTATTCACAGAATTCCTGCATCAAGCGCCCATTGGCAGGTGTATATGATTTAAATGATTGTATAATTTGGGCTTAGTATGAAAGCAAAGAATTGATTTCTCATATGGAGCACATACAAACAGTGTGTTATTATTTTATGCAGGGAGAAACTTTTGATTGTCCCGAGATTGTACCATTCAGAATGACTCATAACATGACAGAAGCAATGGGACCAATGGGGCATGAAGGCATATTTAGGAGATCATGTGAAGTTACCATGAAAGTAATGAGAGACCAAACAGATCCACTCATGAGGTAAGTTGGATTAGATCGACTTATTAGGTGAGTTGGATCATCTGAAAAAAACATGTTTACATCATATCTCAGATATCATATCTCATCCGACTTCGTGCCCAGGGTACTCAGCTCCAAAAGTCATGCATTTTATGGGGTGGGCACTTACCGAGAAGCCCTCTCAAAAAAGTATGCAAATGAAAATTTTAGTTTAATCTGTGCCAGATTAAGGAAATATTACGTCTCTTTGGAGAAAATAAAATTTGATTTGCAACGATTTGACCTGCAAAAACATTTTTTGACCAGACAAGTCAAGTGTATATAACCAATCACAATGCTGTGTTGTACCAACGCAATTCTCTGGGAATTCTGAATGCATTCTGGTAATGCAATGCTGATTTATGGATGTCAAATTGTGATCTGTTGGGATTAATTTTGGATAAAAAACTGCATAATTTTAAAAACTGATACACTGTTTTTTAAAAAGATTACCTGAATATGGAATGAAGTATTTACCAAAGCGTAATTTACGCAAGGTAACTGTGGTCTACGCATTCACAATAATGATCAAAGACCAAAGTTTTATGACTGGACAGTCTAATTTAGGGCATTTTGGAAGTGTATGGGTTCATGAGTACTCAAAAAGTGAGTCAGATCATGTGAGAAAACATTCATTGATGACTAAAAATAGTATAGTCGTAACATTGTCTCTTTATTTTAGTGTATTAAAGACATTTATTTATGACCCACTGGTTGAGTGGAGTAAACCGTCCAAAAACCGTGCCTCAATGCTGGCAGAATCTGGTGAAATCAACAATGAGAAGGTAAATGACGGCACATTTTTTTCCTATATTTATTACCTTTCATATGCAAAAGCACACAAATGTAAACCACATGTTGTGATGCT